CAAAAATTTACGACACACCTGCTTGTGAGCATTTTGAACTAATGGAGGATGGTTGCAACTGCTAAACTATAAGATGAAATCCCTTACTAAAAACAGTTCCATTCCATATGACTACAATTCAAGGACTGTAAATACTGCGCGCAGCTTCTGATATTTTTTAAGAGCAAGATCAGGATCTATTCCAGTAAAAGGGGTCATATGGATTACAGTTCATATGGATTCATGCCGATTTCTTGCAGCAGGGCAAGCTCAGAGATGTATTGAAGCGATGTGGTTCAGGCACCTCAGGAATCCCCCCCCCCATCTGCCTAATTGGATTTTTGTAAGCGGCACCAACTGTCGCAACACATGCTCCCTTCCTACTAGATAAAATCGCTATCTCAGAATAAATCGACGAGTTTACCAGCATTATGGCTGACATTAAGGATGGGCAGAGTAAGAAAGAGCGCTCCAATTCACAACTAACATTGGCCGATGTCAGACTTTGCGATTGGAGCGATTTTGCACCAATTGCAGGAGCGACGGATCGCTTGAGCGATGCGAGCGACGGGAGATTTACACCGCCGACCACCGATAATTCGGCGCCATCAGTTCGTAAATCTCCCGTCGCTCGCACTGCGAGCGACGGGAGATTTACCCGCCGAATACACACGGCGCCGCTCGGGTAAATCTCCCGTCGCTCGCATCGCTTGAGCGATCCGTCGCTCCTGCAATTGGTGCAAAATCGCTCCAATCGCAAAGTCTGACATCGGCCACTGTGTGACACCGTTACTGCAGTAACCGTATTTTCCGGGTAAACGGGGGCCTTTCCCACTAGGAATGTGACAGTTTTGCTGTATTCAGCGATTTGTTCGATTATGCATGTAACTCTTGTTAATATGCGGTTGTTTTTAGATGGCACACAAGGCTGCTCCAGCAGAATCCTAACACTAAATATAAATCAGTACACCTACCTTCAGCGCCTTCTATGAGGCCATCTTCTTCGAGAAGTTCGTGCTCGTGGATTGGTTCTGGGTTGACATCCAACTCCAGTTCATTTCCCAACGACGCTTCACCTTCATCAATCGCAGTCCCAGTCTCGACGTCAACATCTGCTGCTGGCTTCGCTGCACGTGCCCGTTTCGGATACGGCATGGAAGTAGGCAAGTGAAGTTCAGCTGGAATTGAAAACTGAAGTTGAAAGAATTAGGAAAAGCAGAGTAGCGCCTACTGCAGAAAACGAATATCACTTGTCACATGGCCAATAGAAAGCGCAGCTTTGGCCTACGTCAAACTTGCGACTGGCACAAGTGATTCCCGCAACTGGCGCGACTATTCACGGCAATCGCTTGTACCAGTCGCAAAGCCTTACGGTCTTTACTTGAATATCAGATCACTTACAGTTTCATTGATGGCGTAAATTAGTAATAAACTTACTGCCATCTGTTATGACTTCGTTTCTTTCGTTAGGAGCTACACACACGTACATTACAAATACAGTTGGCACACTCGCTGAGTGAATGTCGCGCCAAGCAGGTTCGTAGCACTGCACAGTACGCAGTTTTGAGGCATCGTTACGGGACCCATGTGGCGCACATTGGCCGATACACCTACAGGGGCGGTATTCAATCCTTCCCCGAAGGGGTTGGGGGACGAAAATCCCTTTAAATTTTCTCTGTCTTCCCAACTGGGATTGTCCTGATAAAGGGCCTACATTTAATGTATGTATGTAGGTAAAGTAAACATGCATTGAAAATGAAGAAACTACATCGTTAAAAACAAATAAATTTAAAGGGATTTCCGTCCCCCAACCCCTGGGGAAGGATTGAATACCGCCCCAGGAATGGCGCATGCGTTTCGTTTTCCTCTTTTGGTTGAGGTCACGGTCGACGAAATATTAATAGCAGCTCGATACTTTCAAGGAGTTTTTGGAATTATGACAGCTCTTCTCGCTCTCTTTGGTTCCCTATCCAAAATTTAGGAAATTATTTCACAGGGTTTTTCGTCTATGGAGGTATACAAGTGCGCTGATCACGAATGATATCCAATTGGTACAGCGGCCACTTGGCGCTATTTGGGGTATTCGGGGTGTATTACTGGGTGATGCCCGTTACTCTTTCGACGACAATCGCTGATTTTTCTGTACTGACTGGTGGAGAAAAAAGTTGTTGACACAAGTTTTCCACCTGAAGCATTGCTAATCATCAAGTAAATCGGGTTACAGGGAAGGGCACATTCATTTCGGTGGTTCTATCGTAACGAGCGTAACGACCGCATGGTACTTATCGATCGTTTAACCCTCGGACCAGTCTGACGATCTATACGCATCCAATGCTGTACGGTCGTTACTATCGGACCACTAACTATGAATGCGCTCTACGTGGGTGCTCTTTCAGTGCTGGTGAGCGTTGTAGTGCAATAGTTCACAAAAAATACAGTAATCTAAAATTTGCAAGGTGAAGTGGGCTCCATTGTGGGTGTGAAAGCAAAAGCGGAATGGTTCATGCATACCGTGACTTCCTTCCCTTTAGAATTTGGGATTTATTGTAGGCAGCACCAACTCCTGCCCTAAAATGCTCTCCCTTTAATGGAACGGCGCCGTTACGTAACGCCCTTCATATTAATACATAAGTTCCTCCTTCTATTTGACGAGAAATGTACGGCTCCCCCACTTTCTTCACGATTTGGGGCGCGGCCGCGGCGAGCGCGGACGAGTCGATAGTGCCCGCGAACTGTGCGGGTAAATTTGAAAACGCTCCACCACCACAGTTCGCGGGCACTATCGACTCGTCCGCGCTCGCCGCGGCCGCGCCCCAAATCGTGAAGAAAGTGGGGGAGCCAAAATCTACCATCGTGATCGCGGTGCGTCTTTTAGAAATATTTCAAGTAAATATACCGGACTGACTTGCATATGACTGCATACCATAGGGAAATCCCAGATTTCGAACGATTCGTGAGAACTGCACTGTTATTGAAAACATGACTTCTGGAGCCAACCTTTACTCGGCTGGGTCTTCCTCCTCCCTCCCTGCACATCTGACTGGCACTGTGCGAAGCGTGAAGGATGTAAATCTTGTTCGGCTTTGTCGAGCTTCGGTACTATCATACTTGTTACAGCGTGGCTTTGCATAAAGAATTTCCTAGGTTTGATGTGTTGAGTAAATAGGTAACGTTTAGTAGTCTACTAAGGAGAGAGATTTTTTTAATATACCTCAACGAAGGTAAATTCGAAACGTTAGCTTATTTCGGTACGTAATCAAAAAGAGTTTGAGCAAATTTTCACGTGTATGATGAGCGTTAAAGAGAAATCGGCACATTCTATCTTACTTAACATTATGACCCTTACACCACAGGGAAGCTGAACTTGCCTATTGGGGTGTTTCAGTGCGCTGATCACTAACATGACGTTTTTCTTAGTGCTATTTCACTTTAAGGTCAATTTGGGGCTGATGCTGAGCCCATATACGCCATAATGGCACCAAGTGACGCTGCTTCTGTAGGTGAACACCTTATTCGTGGTCAGGGATTCGATAACCTCTTTGGGCGAAGTTTTAACGATATTCTTTCTGGGATTTCGAGGTTTTGAAGTTGATAATACATTTTTCTAATTCTGCGTACGAAAGGACTTCATGGACCACGAGAGCATTTTGTTGTGTGTGTGCGTGTGTCGTAGTTTTTGACTGGGTAGACTACACGGCTTCGTTTACACCTTTCAAGCTGTGAAAATTATTGAAATCATCGAAATAGGGGTTCAATTCATCAGTTTGTCGTGAAAGCAGCAGAATCTGTGGACCACTTCAAGCAGTCTGCCCAGTCGCCACTTGTGAATACGGTAGTTTGAGCTAGAGCTGTTTCAGATGCTGCGCCGTTACTTCGCACATTGGGAGCGACAAAAGCCTGATCTGAGGACCGCTCTCCTAAATCACCTTCGCGCGCTCGCATTATTACCTCTATGTGGCTATTTACAATGAGAATCGGCCACCGTCAGCAGCTTAAGGCCACAGCCCAAGGTTATTTTCTGATCTTTGCGTCTTGTCGAATCAACAGAGTTGCAACAATGACCTGGAAGCGTACCAGTGGTTTTACCTCTGCATACCACAGAAGGCGCCAGATTGGTGAGAATGAAGCAGATGGGTTCTGACTTTTTGTTTAATGACAGATTCCACCATTTCCTCTTTTTTTCAGTCCGACTCGGGTAGTATCATTATAAAGCAATGCGACGCAGTGAGCGCATGTCGCGCCAAACTGACCATAGAACTACGTAAAATTAGTCCTTCAGCACAATAACCATAGCATGTTACGACATTGGTCATACTTTGCAGCCCACGTGGGACGATATCTGCGACTCGATATTTGGTCCTTTTTCAAGAATGTTCGATTGTGGATTTTTTTATTCACTTTTGGTGCCAGCTTACCTAGCAAGAAAACGCACGCCTCCACGCCGCGCGGCTTGTCTGCACCCTCTCAGCGAGATGATGATGATGCCAATTCAAAGGACGGGGGGAGAGGTTAGAGGGCAGTCACTTGGTATGCGTGAAAAGTTGGAATTTGCGAGTTAACATTATTTAGCACCCATTTTATATATGCTTTCCAATGTGAATCGAGTCACATTTCACATAACGAGTTCGTTAAGGTTTCGCATTCCAAAGAACGCTCCTTGTGAAACATCGAATCGCGGCAGACGCGCTCGTCTCGTGCGACAAATAAGCAAAAAGGCACGCTGTGCTCAATGTGCTAAATCGCGTAGATTCCCTGCGTTCGACCGCGTTTTTAGCCCAAACGGCTCCTATTACTAGAGTGACCTACCAAATGCTAATTTTTCAGACATGAAAAAAAAATCAGTCAGCTGGGAGTCAATGCTTAAAACGCCTATTCCCAAGTCCAAAATTTTATTTTTCGTACCCTTCAATGCGAGTCAGCCGCTGTGCTTCTCCGTCTGCGCTCTAACCCTTCGCGGCAGGAACCGCAACAAAGAGCCCTCTGAACACTTGAATGCGATTTTGATCGTAAAATCTTTACCGATTCAGAGCCGGTCTAACAAAAAGTCGATTCATTAGAAGTCTCCTGACTCCCTTTTAAGCTCTAATTTAGTCCAACGCTCCATAGAACTGCCTGATAGGGCGCACAACTCTAACAAGCTGTGTAAGTCGGTAAATTGGGTTTGGATATTGGTACTCTATGGCGTATCTATTTCTTTCCTGCGCGCCTTTCTTGCATACGTGAGTTTATCATTTTTCACTGGGCGCTCATGTCGCTGGGGGGGGGGGCATTCAAGTAATTGAGCCACTCACAGCACTTGAGGCTAGGCCATAGGCAGAGGAAGGGCTTCTGTTGGAGGATGGAGCAATTTTTGCTTTCCCTTGTGCTTCTCCCTGGACTTTCTCTACTGGACTTAGCCCTAGCGCTAGCGCCGCTCCCCTTTCACAACACTAATGCCTTCAAAAAAGACCCGTGGACCTAGAATTGGAGATTCATTGCCATTCAAGTTTACCGCAGTAGCGCGTTCCCATGAATATCTTTCTCGTTCCGGATGATCACATGAATTTCACAGTTCAAATATTACTGGGCGCACAAGTCTTTAGGGGAGTTGGGGGGAGGGGGTGAAGTGAGTGAACAACTTAAACGACTCAGAACTGGGGGAAGGGATTCTTAGGGGAAGCGTGAGCAAACTGTTCTCCCTGGTGTTTTTGCGCTCTCCTAGGCTTAGTCCTAATGGCCGATGTCAGACTTTGCGATTGGAGCGATTTTGCACCAATTGCAGGAGCGACGGATCGCTTGAGCGATGCGAGCGACGGGAGATTTACACCGCCGACCCCGATAATTCGGCGCCATCAGTTCGTAAATCTCCCGTCGCTCGCATCGCTCAAGCGATCCGTCGCTCCTGCAATTGGTGCAAAATCGCTCCAATCGCAAAGTCTGACATCGGCCAATGTCACATACCAGCGGTTTTTGAATGCCCCCATTAGGACATGAACGCCTACCATTGTAATTTTGCCATATTTCAGAATCCGCGACTAATAATAGATGACACATAACACGTCAAGAAAGGATGTGCCGATTTCCTGGAGACTGCTGACGATGAACCACAAAAAATCAAGAACAGTTCAAGAAGGAGAGAAGATAATATTGTGAAGTCTATGAATGTTCAATTAAACAAGGTACGACAAACGTATAGTCTGTAAATGAGTTTCCAAGAGCTTATGTCCAACAAATAAGAGAAGGAACGCGTTGAGAAAGGCGAAAATTATGAACGACTATGTGTTTATTGCATAGTTAGTCCACATTAGCCCCAGTATCAGAATTGGTATTAAGTTCTGACTGCTTCAACAATATGTGAAACATGAGACATAATCATTATTAGGTAGTATAAAAATAGCTCAAAGTACTGCTACAAACCAGTGTGCTGAGAAATGGCGCTCGAATCGATTTGTTTGTCCCGATTGCACGATTTCATTCGCCGGGATTTTTTTCCCCGATTGTAGATTCAAAATGGGACGGAGCTGTAAAGTTTTTGTTTAGGGTGGATGCAAAACATGTTCATCGTTACTGCTGATGAAGAACTTCATGTTTCAAAAATGTGTCCAGTGCGGTAAGTAACTTTGCTTATATTTGCTACTGAAACATTTCGCAGCAGTTCGTGAAACACTCAAATCAGACATGCTATGCTATCATAGTGTCCTTTTGTTCGTTGATGGGGAAATCTTATTCGAGGAGCTGATTTTATACGAATTGGTTGCTAGGGGTTGGGGAAGGTTCACTTGTAGCAAGCTTACTCTCACTGCATACAAGTGAGCTGCTTTACGTTCATCCGGTAATGTTAGGAGCCTTGAAGAGAAAGTGCCTTTTCTATCTGATAGGTTTCATTGGAAGGAAGGTTCAAGGCGTGAAAATGTACCGCAATTATTCGTTTCTGCGGCGATCCCGCGAACAACTATGTGAATTCATCGATAGGTTTGTATAACCTCAAGAGCACACCACTTAAACATCCTATAAGAGCATATGAAAGTAATAACGTTGAGAAATCTTAGTAGAAAAGGCGCCAAAGCGGAGGTGCGTGTGCCCCAACGCTAGCCGGTGAACGACGGCGCTGGCGGCCGCGTAGCGGTCGGCTGCTGCCTACGAAAAACAACCGCTGCATTGGAATCATGCACATCGTCAGCAAATGTTCGATTAATGTAAAGTTCAAGTAAAAGCTACAGTAGCCTTTCCCGAGTATATTCTGGAGAACTGCTCACAGCTTTGGTTTATTTTCACGTTCTATTGAATCCTCAGCTTGTCACTATGATAGGCTTTGTTTCATGTGTGCCTGAATTCGCGCAAAGTGCTGTACCGTACTCTTCCGCCGTCAGCTGAAGTGTGTTCAATGTGCAGTTACGGAACCCAGGCAGAAAGTGCACGTTCTTCGCGGAGAACTCGTTTATGAAGAATGAAATCGATGTAAGTGAAACATAGCAATTTGGTGTTTTTTTCTGTTTCACTATTAATTTGGAGTGTTCCGTCCAATAGGGTTGAAGCACTGGATTGGACATACTATTGTAACCCCGCTGGGGCCGTTTTTGCATCCTTGTCAGAAACGCTCTGCCCTGTCAAAGGATATGCTATCCGTTTGACGCGGGAGCCATTTACTACGATTTGGCGCTATTTTATGCCATTATGATATCAAAATGGCGATAAATTTACAATATTGTCAAGAGTGAATGTCAGCTTAGTGGTCAGGTTGCTGAAAAACTCCCATAAGTGCAGTTTCGTCGAGAACTTCCTGGGATTTTTGGTTGTAGGTAAATAATACATACTTGCAAGAAAAAATTAGGGTCTCTCGTGTTCCTTCTCGGAAACTATGTAATGCCTTTCGAATTCTGGACTGGATAGAAGTCGAATGCGTAGTGCGTTGTGAACAACTTTAACTTGACCGATCACATTAGTTTGCTTAGCGAGCTCGCTTGCCGAGTTGAGTTTCCTCCCCTGTCGTTCGCTAGAATTTATTGCTTGGTTTCTTTACTGAATCGTCCATGCTTGGAAAGATGCTGCGTTCTGGTTTAGAGAACCGCTCCAGTTAAGCATAACTGCATGTGATTGACCGTCGTTTTTATCTGAAAATGTTGCATAAATCCCTAGACTCTCGAAGTAGGC